AATATATATACAAATTTAAACACACACACACACAAAAACAAACTTATATACATACGAGAAGCACTTAGAAGGTTCCCCGTTCAACCTACTTACAAAAAAATCTGACCTAATAAGTAAAATTATAATTTTTCAGGAAGGGATTCATAACCGAACCGAGATCTTTTCTGCATCCACACGTAAATTGTGCATATATATATATATATATATATATATATATATATATATATATATATATATATTCTGTTCTAACAAGCACGAGGCATGATTAAGTAGAAAAATCTCAATAAATTCGTAAGGATTAATCGAAAAAATAAGGGAACTGCTTTTCCTTTATTCATCTGTATAAGTCTTTATATATATATATATATATATATATATATATATATATATATATATATATATATATATATATATTATTATTATTATTATTATTATTATTACATATACGCGTACCTACGTTTTGGCGTACGACTATAGTTTCGCTGGGTGGTGTTCCCAGTTCATCGGGTACGGGGTCTATCTATATGTTTGTGTTAGTGTGTGTGTGTTAGTGACTCTGTGTGTGAAGTGCTACTCCAAATTTCGGTTAAACTGATTATGTCAATATAGTTTCCAGCCAGTGTAGTAGGTCAAATCCGTGGAGCAGACAGCAGGAAATCGCTATAAAAGATATCTGTGGAGTGCTATGTTCGCCAACCTTCTTTACTGTTTAAAGGATTGAGTAGTAAATATTTCCTGAAAAGTGGCTCTATGTATGATGTTCAAAAGTATATAAAGAAACACTTTTAACATTTAATTTTGAAGAACTATAAAAAAAAGGTGAAATAATTTTATCCAGAATTAAAGGCACAATGAAAATCGTCATTTAAGTCTTTTTTTTCATCTACAGCTTTTTCTCGTCTTTTACGGTCAATCTTTGTAAAATTGGCGCAAACATCAATAGAGTTAATTTTCTGAACTTCATTTGAATAATCTTCAAATTACTTAGTTTTCTCTTGTTATTCGTCTATAATCGCCTGTGTTTTTCAACTTCAGTCACTTGTGAGTCTGTGAAGGCCAAGGCAAAACTTCTTATCCTGAAGTTATTTCAGGAATAATTTACATTTTTTGGATCATTTTCATTGATCCAATCACTATTTTATTTCAAATTTTCTCCATTTTTTTGTCCCGTGACCATAAATCCGTACCAAACTCCCTGCTCTTTTTGCTCGTAAAATATTATATCCCCTCTTCTATATCTTGTGATAGTCAGGTGTACTTTCGATTAAAAGCCTCACTTAGATGTTTCGAAATAAATTTCTTGTTATTAGGCCTTAAAAGTTATAGTTTTACCGCGACTGATGTGAAGATTTAATATAGAGATTTAATAAGCGTAGCTTAGATGTGGTATAAGGCCGAAAGTATGGAGCAACTAGTGAGAATCGAGCTCGCTATTCGTAATTGAGCTAGGGTGACATGCTTGTTAACCATTACATTACGTCGAAGTCGTAGTGTCCCGCTGGTCATAGCGATTTACTAAGCGTAGCTTACATGTGGTACAAGGCCGAAGTAGCAACTAGAAATCTCTGAAAGTATAACCAACATGAAAACGGATGGGCTCCGTCAGAGTATCTTGCCGTAGACACACTACTGCTGATATAACATTAATATTATTCTCCAATGACGCTAATGAATTATGGGACTCGTATCGAATTTTGGAGGAAGCATTATTATAGTTTGTAAGTTACAGAAGGTAGCGAGAAGAAAGAACGAAGCATCGATTGCAAGAAGACGGAATGCATGGCTTTTAGCAAAAAGAACAGCTCAATGTGTAAATTGGAAATACCGAAATCAAACAAATACAATAATTTAAATATCTGTGAAGTGTTTTTGCAGAGGACAGAAAGCCCGACACTGAAATCTGAAGCGTAGCGAAAGTTGCCTTCCAAAAGCTAAACAATGTATTAAGAAACAGGAAAATCTCGTTAGAAATAAAGAAAAGAGTACTGAACTGTTAAGTAATATCAGTCCTCCTAGCTGATAATGATGCTGGAAAATCTCTTCACTGATGAAGAAGAGAATTGAAGCAACAGAAATGTGGTTCTACAGAAGGCTACTGAGAAGACTATACTGAACATGTTAACAACGACGAATTCATGGAGAAAATGAAAAAAAAGAACATTAATACATCAAAAAGAGACAGTGGAAATTTCTAGGGTACATATTGAGGAAAGAGTGCTTGGAAAATTTGATACTCACAGTACAGATTAAAAGCAAGAGGGACAGAAGCAAACAAATCTTAACCTAGGTAGCGAACTTGAATTTGGAATAAGATTTAAGAGAGGCAACAACAAAAAAGATGATTAAGAACGATAACGGTCAGGAAATTGTGGACAGCCATCATCGCCTAAGACCTGGAATGACACGGCTGAGAGGAGATGTTGTCGAATATACATTGTAGAAAGTTATTCTTCTATATATATATATTCACATAACATGTTCCCACCTCAAAAGAAGATGCAACTGCAACAATATTTCGTTTTTTCTCTCCATAAAGAAACTTTGTCCTGGGCATGAAAATAAACTGCCATCAGGCATCAAGGCCTCTGATCGAGAGATTGGTCGTTTTGAGGAACGTGGAACACATCTTAATTGCTGTTGTTCCCAGGTCCACGCTGGTTCGGATGGTAGCACCGGTTGTGGTGCCAGTTATCGGCAAATAGTGAACTTCCAAGCAAAAACAAAACCCTATGAAAGTATAAAAATACAATTGTATAGTAAAAATACCAGCAATACATTTTCATAATAAAAAATGAAGAAAATGGCAAAATGACCAACAATACATTTTATCTGAAGTTGAAGCCATATAATTATGTTCCAAATATTTAGGTTTCGGCATTAAATAACCCATAGAGATGTTGATATGCCGCTAAACAAAATCAACCAACAAACCAACCATAAAGAAACTAACTCTTTGCTAATAGTTCTCAGATGTTGAGAAGATCAAAAGTAGATCGGAATCCGACAGGATAATATAAAAGAAAAAAATAGGAAACGTGTATCAATCTAAAATGTTTCACTTTTATTAAAGCTTCGTCAGAGACTGAGAGAAAACAGACAAAAAGACAGAAAATACAGGTATTGTCAATTATGTTGGGGTCAGTTCACATTGGTCACATAGTTATCAAGTGTATTAAAACCTTGGGTAAATCAATCTGTATGTATGTTTGTGAAGATTTTTGTATGTTTAAGTGGGCATCAGATGGTAATCTGTATTTGTAACTGTGTGCGCTTGTCTGTCTAGCTGTGGTTTTATCTTCATATATATATATATATATATATATATATATATATATATATATATATATATATATATA